AAGTAATTTCTTTACAGATTTTCATTCAAGTCATGGAAAAGGAAAAGATTTGGATGCTTAGGGTGTATTTAGACCAAGCCAATCAATCACCCCAAACACATCCCAGTTCAAAAACTGAACAAACCTTTACATCATTTAGAATGCCTGCAGATATGGTCATTGAAGCTGCCGTCATACCAGCTTGGTTTTGAAGTGTCATGAAAGGCCAGGAATGATAGCCCTCCCACAGCTTCAAAAGCAGAGGTTGAACAGTCCCAGAGGAGACCACTGGAACAGAAGGCAAAATGCAGGACAATGCCTGTATTTTCAAATTTGAAAATGGTCTTGACAGTTTTTCTGTAACAGTTAGTTAGTTCATGGATTTATTTTAAGTTGGCTTACACAGAAAGTGGCCAAGAGAGTTGTATAATGAGGTCCTGTGGGAGAAAGATACAGAACTACTCAAAATTACAAATCCGTTACATCATCAGTTTATCCATTACACATTTACCTGGAGACTCAGTTATGGAAACACTGTGACTAGATGTTCGAGACAAACTTTTCAACTTCGGTATTATCCTTCGGGGATGAGGAATTGTAAACAACTGTTTTGGTGTCTGTCCAAACTCCAAGATTTGTGTCAGCAGAGCTACTTTTTCATTGGGGTCCATAATACTTTACAAAAACAAGATACTTAATTAAGCCAAGTAGCCAAGTACTTTTTTTTCCTCCCCTCCCCTGAAAGCATGGGTCTGCATGTGCAGTTACTACAACACTATAGGCCATCACAAATTCTTACATAATTTATTTACCACAGATGTGATGGACAGTCATATGACAGTTTCATTATTTTGTTTATGTACGATGACAGTATGCTTGTCAATTAAAAAAATAAAGCAATTTCATGAAAGCCAGACTGCAGAAATGTTCACGTAACAATCTTTCAATGCATGCTAAAACTGAGAACCCAATGCTGGTTCTCTGCATATTTGGGAATCTAAAATGGAAGAGCTACACCATTCACATACAGAAGACTTTTACAGCCAGCAGAGAACCTGGAGGGATACTGAGAAATTTAGCTAACTGCTTTAACAAAACCGTTCTGGTTCTTGTTAATTACCTGTTTAGATCCACTCCTCCTTCATAAGTTAATGGGTGAAACACTGTGGAAAAAAAAGTTTATTTGTACAATGTAGATATACAAGGCTCTTTGTCTTGCATAACTACTATAAAAAAAAGTTGTATTTTTTTACTCAACTTGGTTATTTTTAAGCAACTAAGCTATTTCAGCAGGCTATAGCGTTTAAGATCTTGCGTTCTAATCCTGGGTTTCTTACCTGAAAAAATTTAGGATTTCTAAGAGACTTGGAGAAAGCTTCAGAAGAAATCAGTCCTTTCATAAAGGAAGGATGACTTATTTAAGCTTCATTAAATACCCCCCCACACACACAATAAAGAAAAAAAAGACACAGTTGCATAACTGGATCTCTGGTTATTTTCTAGACAGGTAACAAAATGTAGTAGAGAATAATCACAAAGGTCTACCCATTCACCTGTTCATTTGCTACGAGGATAGCAGTTACACAGTGAATCACTTTGGGGCCTCTGCACAAGAACACTTACTCTATCTTTTGACCTAAGTTCATTCATACACAGAACCCTTCTATCTCTCTTATCTACTCAAGCATCTGCAATTCCTTACACTAATAAAAATCCACATTGCAGCAGAAGCAGCACATTGTGCATAAGAAGTGCTCTCATTTGAGAGGCAAAAATATAGGTGCCGATTTACCATATCCAAAGCCTCTGACTTGGATGCCAAGCCCTGCAAACCTCAAATATAGCCAATCATGATTTAAGGACATGTGGGGAAGCATATTAAAAAAAAACCTAAACAACAACAACAAAGAGAAAAAAACCAACAAAAAACACACCACAAAACAGATCACTTCATCGTAGCCTGGAAGTAGAAAGCACTGACTACCAAAATGAAGAGTTGCTTATTCCTTCCCTCCACTGTCACAGGAAGGTTTTCTTCTTAAAGTTATTCTGTCTTGTTAAGTGGAAACTATCTTAACATTGTCTGTTACTTGAAATCCTTCAAAAGGATCCAGGCTTCTGGAATAAACACCCTATAAATCTGATCTGCTAATCTTCCTTCAGCAAGAAGACATTTCTTTATTAGGTAGTAACATACATAGCTAAATATCAGACTGCTGAATAAGTTAATAATTGTTATTAGGTCTAGATAAATTAAACACACCACCATACCAATCACATATTAATGTCCCCTTTTGTAAGCATTTACAATGGCTACATACATGCTCAGAATAAGATTGCAAAGACCGAAACTTTCCACATGTACAGTAAAAGGTATATATACTACTGCGGTAGTATACATGTACACAAGCACAAACCTAGTCACCTGCATACTTTTTCCTTCATTCTTGCTCCTAAAGAGCTACAGACTATTAGCCCCTTCCTTCCCTTGCTAATTCTCTCAGGAGGAGGGGGAAAAATTGCACTGAAATTCTCACACCGCAATTACAGTGTAGGAAAGTTAAATACATGTTTGTGTGGAGACCCGACAAACTCCCATTTTTAATAGGGAAACACTACTTCCATACTACATTGCCACACCGTGCTGTGTGAGCAAATAACAGCAATGCTGTAGAATCTTCTTGCCTATCATATTAAGTACATCTTCAAAGATGCAAATCAACATGAAGGCAGTACATTTAATACACTAGATAAGACACTATTTCCAATAATGAAGAACTGTATTTCCTTTAAGGATCAAGCATTCAAAGCACAGTTATGAATGTTCAAAACAAATCAGGCATTACAGATATGCTGTTATTTACCATTCCTGCCTAATTAAAGCATCCCTTTTTTTTTTTTTCCACTATTTCTATAAAGTGTGTATTTACCATTGTGAGCTGCAACTGCTTCACTTCCTTTCTGCTTGTAGCCAAATATTATGTCAATCCATTCGTGAAGATGTTCTGATACATACTGGCTTTCTAAAGCCTCTTGGCTCTTCTGAAGAAAGTCATCAGGACCTGACAAGACACAGGTTAATTAAAAGGAGAAGATCCCATTCATTACTGGTATCCATCTCTGTTCCTCTTCCTTCTTGAAAAAGCAACCAAATGAAAAACCCAAGCCCCAACACCCCACACCAAACCTCAAATGTGCTATAAAAACTAAACTCTACTATTCATTATGTCAATGTTTTAAAGCAAAAATTCCTTCGGAAGAAAACAGAATAGGCATTTTTGAGAGAACAACCGCCATCCCAGAAGTCTAGATAGAATAGAATCATAGAATCGTTTAGGTTAGAAAAGACCTTTAAGATCATCCAGTCCAACCATTAACCTAACACTACCAAGTCCACCACTAAAACAATTAAGGGTAGAGTCATAATTAATTTCATGTTTCCTGGCTTGGTGGCTGCATTATTTTTTAATGAGAGTAAAAACTAGGAATCATTAAGGTTGGAAAGGACCTCTAAGATCATCAGCCCAACCATCAACCCAACACCACCATGCCCACTAAACCATGTCACAAAGTGCCACTTCTACCCGTTTTTTGAACACTTCCAGGGATGGTGACTCCACCACCTCTCTGGGCAGCCTCTTCCAATGCTTGACCACTCTTTGCATGAAGAAATTTTTCCTAATATCCAATCTAAACCTCCCCTGGCGCAGATTGAGCCCATTTCCTCTCATCCTATCGCTAACTGCTTGGGAGAAGAGACTAACACCCACCTCACTACAGCCTCCTTTCAGGCAGTTGTAGAGAGCAATAAGGTCTCCCCTCAGCCTCCTCTTCTCTAGGCTAAACAACCCCAGTTCCCTCAGCTGCTCCTCATAAGGCCTGTGCTCCACACCCTTCACCAGCTTCGTTGCCCTTCTCTGGACACACTCCAGCACCTCAATGTCTTTCTTGTATTGAGGGGCCCAAAACTGGACAAATATTCCAGGTGCAGCCTCACCATCGCCGAGTGCAGGGGGACAATCACCTCCCTGCTCACACTATTCCTGATACCAGCCAGGATGCTGTTGGCCTTCTTGGCCACCTGGGCACACTGCTGGCTCATGTTCAGACGGCTGTCTACCAACACCCCCAGGTCCTTTTCTACCAGGCAGCTTTCCAGCCACTCTTCCCCAAGCCTGTAGCGTTGCATGGGGTTGTTGCGACCCAAGTGCAGGACCCGGCACTTGGCCTTGTTAAACCTCATACAGTTGGCCTCGGCCCATCGGTCCAGCCTGTCCAGGTCCCTCTGCAGGGCCATCCTACCCTCCAGCAGATCGACACTCCCACCCAGTTTGGTGTCATCTGCAAACTTACCGAGGGCACACTCAATCCCCTCATCCAGATAGTTGATAAAGATATTAAACGAGGCTGGCCCCAAAACTGAGCCCTGGGGAACACCGCTTGTGACCAGTCACCAGCTGGATTTAACTCCATTCACCACAACTCTCTGGGCTCGGCCACCCAGCCAGTTTTTTTAACCAGCGCAGAGTACACCTGCCTAGGACATGAGCTGCCAGCTTCCTTAGGAGAATGTTGTGAGAGAGTGTCAAGGCTTTACTGAAGTCCATGTAGATGACACCCACAGCCTTTCCCTCACCCACTAGGTGGGTCACCAGGTCATAGGAGGAGATCAGGTTGGTCAAGCAGGACCTGCCTTTCATGAAATCATGCTTGCTGGGCCTGATCCCCTGGTTGACCTGCACGTGCCTGTTGAATAATCTTGAATTAATTCATAATACAAGAAGTTTGACTATTATTACCTGATGCCCAAGGGGGAAGCTCTACATCTTCAACCATCTTTCCACCCTGCCTTTTTCCCAAGTCCAACTTCAAACTGTTTACTAGAAAACTAGAATCTTTTTCATAAAATTCTGGAATCAACTAGAAGAAGAGAAAAAAAAAAAAAGGAAGTTTTGAGATTAGCTTAGCTATTCTACTTAAGTAGAATACAGTCAATAAAAACTGAGAGTTATCGAAGTTCATATGTCAAGCCTTAAAGTTGGGTAGTAATTCTTCCAGGCTTTCTTCTCTGTCAGTAAGTAAAGCAGCACTGGAAACTTCCTCCCATTATTGTTCCAACTACTTTTAGGCTTCTTGACTACCTACAAGGCAATTCTCTGAGCTAAATTCAGTGCAGCATAAATATTTTTGACATGTAACGTGTGACATATGAATCCATAATATCTAAGGGTATCTTCAGAACTCTCATTGCATAGTGACCTTCTCATTTTGAAGACATCAGGTAAAAGTCAAGACACAAATCTAGAATAAAACTGCAATGACGACAAAAGTTTCAGAGGTTAAGTCAATCATTTAAAGACCACCATAGCTAACCAACCATAATTCCACTGACATTAACTATAGACTTTTTCTAAAAATTATGACTACATTAAACTCCTTTTTCAAAGAAACATTATTTAACAGCACCCACTATCTGACAGTTAATAATTCTCAACATATACTACAAGTTACATTTTTTATAAGGCTGAAAAAATCAAGATAAAACTTCTATAGTTTAACCTCTCCAGATGTACTGTTGTAATATAGCCAAATCCTTACAAGATTCCAGCAGACGAAACATAAAATTGCATATTTTCAGCCTTAATGCACTCTGGTAATTCCCACTTACTCCAATAACATTCACAGTGACACTTCTGTTAAACTAAAAGCCAGAGAGCAGACACAGACAAGCAATCATGGAATTACAGGGAAGGAAGAAGTTAAAATGTTCAAAGATTCATAAAATGCAGTCAACAGCCTTAAAAAAAAACAAACCAAAAACAAACAAAAAAAACCCAAACACAAAACTAAAAACCACAGACACCCAAAAAACCCAAACACATTCCACCCCCACCCCAAAACTCTTAAATCAACAGGACACGTTGAGAACAGAAAGCTTAGCACAGATACCAAGAAGGACTTGAATCATTTTCCAGCCATTTACCTCTTTGAAATCTGTTGCACCATCCAAACAGTTTTTCCAGGTTTCTGCAAGACTAGATAACACATATCAATCACACATTTGTTAAAATATTTTTAAGGCTTTGCACTCCCTTGATGCGTATGTGAAAACAAACCCAACCTAATTATAGACAAAATGTAGACAAACCTGTTGAACATTCTGTCAGCATGATCAAACTTTCCATTCTGCAGACAGAGCATGTATTCTGGAGCTAAGGAGAAAGAAAAAAAAAAAAAAATCATCAGCTTGCTCCAAACCTTGTCCACTTTGGAGGCAACTGTCTGCTCAGAGAGCATGTAAGAGCTGTCTTACCAACTCTAACGAGATAAAACAAAACATAACCCGGAGATGAATAATGGCTCCCATACATGAACTTAGGCTCTGGCATTTCCTGATAACGTGTCTGCAACATAGGAAGAGAGAGAGGTCTGTTTAAAATCAGCACTCCTGCTTTCCTTCAGTATTGAACACACGCACACTATTTTTTTTTTTTGTTTAAAAACACAGATTAGGACTACCCTCAATTTTTTTTTTTCTAACGATAAAACAAACTCTAAGTTCTAATACCCATGCAGCTTTAATCAGATTAGTAAATCAATACGGCAAAGAAGTTGTTATAACTTATCATCTAGAGTTATCAGGTTTTCAGCTTTTTTTCTTCTCTCGCTTTCACATGTAACTGCAGTGACTCAACTTCAAAGGAGTGCAAACAAAGACTTCCTTTTTGTCTTTCACACAAAGTTTAATGAGACTGTGGAAGAACATACTGACTTAATTCAATCTGGAGGACTCCCTCCTGTCTTAAACTCTTACGTGTTATCCCCCAAACCTATCATAATCTAAATAAAATGACTTTTACTGCAGTAAGTGTGAGGCAGCTAACAGTTTGAGGAAACAGTCAGATCTTAGAAAGAAAACTTTGTTTACTGTTATTGAAAGTATAATATTGAGCGTGTTCTTACCCTTCACAAGCCTAGGAAGCTTCACAATTTTGAAATAGTTAATCTTCCTTGTCAATATAATGCAGTTATCCTGGCAACATCTTTTTCTTAATGCTTCATTAAGAACTAGTAACGGTTCCAAAACATTAAATATAGTTATGTTCTGTAAATTATTTTGGAACTTACCACAGCAGACAATGATTTTATACAAAGAATTAAAAGCCAAGAAAATGAGGGCCTTCTAAGCCTGTAACTCTGTGTTTGACTGCTTATGAAAAGAAAGCCTGCCTACTTTGAGAAATGGAAAAAGTTTGTCCGCTATTATCTGCATGTGGAAATTTCAAGTTGGTGCTCTGATCTCCATGGATCCAGATTTCTGCCCTTTGAAGCACTCTCCATCAAATTCAGCATTTTTCTTAAATTGAAGTACTTAAGATTTCTACTACTTTGCCTTGTTTAATTAATATACTTATTTTACATTACGCATTTAAATCCATTGGTCTTGAAGTTTTGTATTTCCATATATGTTTATAGTATCTCAGTGCCTGCCACACAAATGAAGTTACAATAGTTAAATGCATTTGGGGATTTTATTTTAAAAGCTAGTTAAAACATTTAAAAGCGTGTATGTATGAAACAGTAGTAAGAGAGAGGAAACAGATTCAAATAATTTTAAATTAGTGCTGACAGAATCAGTACTGATGAAATCAAACTGAAAATAAATCTGGTATGTTTATAGGTACGTTTGCTTCTGATAAGGTTTATAGTTAGTTTTAGATATCTACGTAATTCCCAAAGCTCCTTTTTTTGCCAATATGTACAAGACCCAAAATGTGCAGTACATATAAGCCAAGATATACATACCAATAATCTATCCAGCCTTTCCCTATTCAGGGCACCAATTGGTTTACTAAGGTCACGGAATGTTTCAGGCTTTGTCAGATCTGGAAAAATATAGTTAGACTCTATGCATTGATTCTTCTAGACAGGAATGTACTCTAACCAATATATAAAACCAAAACAAGCTCCTAAACAGCAACAAAACAACCAAAAACCAATGCAGAGCCCCTCCAGTAATTTTCTCTGCTCCCTAACTGCAAAAGAACAAAGTCTTACTGTAAGTAGTTGCTCATCTTCTTCCTTCCAAGTAGATGTAATCTCATACCTCCTGCTTAAGAGCTAGTAGTTACATACAGCTGACGGCTATTTTAACTAACGTTACCTAGTCAATACAGGTCCTGCTACCTGAGGCACAAAAGCAGCTGATAGAGTCTTCTTCCCGCTCATTAACTTTTCTGTCAGGCTACAGTTAAATTCCACCAAACAATCAGACTGGAATGTTTGAGCGGGTGCTGATGAATACCGTGAGATTCCCCTACTCTACTCCTTGTAGAGGGACACAATCCTCAAAAGGACAAGCTTCCAAGACAAATTCCACAAAACCCCTTAATCAAGGAGCCTATTTAAGCACAAGCCTTGTTAGCCTCCTCCTTTCAACTTGCAATGCTAAGAACTGTAAAAAAACACCTGGATTCTATATACTTCAATGCATCCAACTTGTTCCATAAAGAGTCATTTTACTGGTTCTTTTGCATTTATTAGAATCACAGAAAGTGTTTCAATGCTCAGTACCGCAGACACTTGGTACATACTCTGCATGTGAAGAGTGAAATATTTAACAGAAAAAGGTGAGGTATTTTGTCCACTAAACTCCAGAGTAATGGTAAGTGCACAAGAAAACATCTAAGATCACTAATGTCAGGTTCATTTTGATGTACCATGAACTTCACACGGTATAAAGCCCCTTGAGACATTTCGGGTTGGACATGATGCGCTAGCGCATTTTTTTGTATACACATACCTAATACTGAACTAGAGTAGTCTGCTATGATCCAGGGAAACACAGGATATTGGGAGAGATCATTGCAGCTTCTATCAGCCAGATTGTTGAGATGAAGAAGATACTGGTAATTTGATATATGTCCTCGCTGCCATTGCAGCATATAACTTTCAGCTGTATGCTCTGTAATATGATTTTCTAAAATAAAAGAAAACATTAAGATTTTTGAGGTTTGGAGTTCCACCGCCGAATTATACTATGATTAACATTATGCAAGGTAATAATTAAGGGTATAGTTATTTAAAAGAACAAGTCAGAATTAAGCGATAACTTCATGTTTCAATAGTTACCATACTTTATACATCTTTTAAGATCCATTCAAACAAACAGGCTTAAACTTAAACAACAACAAAAAAATCATGCAGAAGGAGTGCTGAAACCAAACATAGAAACAATGATAGGAAAGAACTTGAGCATTTATGGAGATATAGAAAAAACATTTGCAGACCATGAACAGCTCTCTTGGCAATCAGGCAACCTTTAAGATTTCAAATTTCTAGAATTAACTCTGCTAGAGTCAAGAAAAAAAGTAAATATATTTTCCTACTGGACAACTAAGGATGCCCACTAACAATGACTTGTTGAAAGAAGTCATGTATGTATGTAAATAGGATTCAGTTTCAGGACCACTGAAACAGAGAGACTAGGGGAATACAAAACTCGACCACCACTTAATAAAGTAGGAATCATGTACCTGGAGCTTCTGTTTGAAGCATTAGGCAGAGGGCTCAAGAAATTCAAAACTGCGCTTTCCTCCACTCAATAGCTGTAATACAAAGGTATGTTGCTGGACAACGAAATGACCCAAGAATATTGATTTCATTCTGTCCCTCCACCTTAAAATGAAATTAAAGAAGTTTCTTTGTTATCTTAGTCTGTCCTCTGTGTGGCAGGTTTATCAAGAGAAATGGAGGTGGGGGGGA